TGTTTGTTTGTTTGTTTGTTTGTTTGTTTGTTTGTTTGTTTGTTTGTCTGTGTGTGTGTTACACCCTGTCCCAAAGGGCATTTGTTAGGCGGTTTACGGGTTTCCGCAGGGGGCAGCAGCACCATTGCAAGTCTCGTGCCAACGAAGACACTTGCAATTGGTGGTGATACCAGACCAGCCTGGCGTACCTGCATTCAGTCAATGATGTGGTCTATACTGTTTTTTGACCCTTTCACCTTGCTGTTTGCACAGGGCCATTGCCAGGTCAGTTGAGGTCGTTCTTGCAGTAACTAGATTGTAAAGGGCTGCTGCACCTGCGAGTCATGAACGGAATGAATGCCCATTCAGTTGAGCTCTCTACTGTATCTAAGTGTGTGCGTGTGCGCACGTATTGGTGGTTCTTGTATACGCCGGGCTGGAATTCTATTCGTCCGTTTGGTTGTGTGTTTGCATCATGTATCAGTTAAGTTAAGTTAAAAGAATTGCCAAGTGCACTTGAGTGTGCTTTAAAACCCTTTAAAGTGCATTGACTTGAGGGCGAGTCAAGCAGCATTCTCTTCACAGATGTTGTCCTTTGTGTGGCACAGTATCACTGAATGGGTTCCAAGGACTGCAGATGATGAGGCATTGCCGTGTTGCCGCATTTTGACGTCCTCGACGTAAAAAACTGTCTATTTCTTCGTGATATTTCCCTACAGTCAAACTGAAACACACGTTGTCAGGATATATTTACGTTCAAATCTTCACCAAACATTTTCCAAGTTCAATTCGCCACACCCTCGAGATCCCTCGAGTATCCATGATAGAAGTATTCGTGTAGCATATTCAAGTCATTTACCACACACGTACTGACATGTATACGTTTGCCTCAAAATAGTTGCAATGCATTTTGTCTATCTACCTTCGGTTCCCATGGTTTGCAGGCAAGGCGCTCTCACTGTTCAAAGAACCTCACCAGCTTTTATTGCCTGACTTGCTTTTGGGTGTCAGGTCGAGACTGAAAGCGAAGCTGCAGAGCCAGATGGTCTCAGCACGGATGTCGCTGCCGATTCTGCGAATGTTGCAGAGAGTCCTTTTGGTTTGGGTCGAATCTAAGGCCGAGGGACTTCAACACCGTGTGACATGTGCGTTCAAAACCTTTTGTTGATCATGCTCTACCAAGATGGTAGAGAATTGCGGCCTCCCTTTTTGCATTGATGACCCATCTCACTGATCCATGCACTCTCCCTTCGCTGAATGAGCTGTCCAAAGCATGTCAGCTCAGCAGTTTTTAGTGCTCCCAAAGCTTGGAGCGGGGACCTCTGACCTCAGACCCCACTTCTTTCGAAACTCCGGGATCGACGTCGGAACATGTCGGAACATCGGTTTTTCCGGCGAAGTCCGCGAACATCAGGTCCCACACCTTGGTTTCGTAGTCCTTACCTGGTGTTTCGTTTTATTTCTCCACCTTATTTGGTGGACCCACCTGGACGCTTTCGCTGGCATCACTGGCATCCTTCGATAGCTCCGATGAGCATCGATCTGATTTGTGGCAGCAAAAATGAGTATCCTGAGTATCCATGACATGCCGTCAAGGCTTTGGGCTCTAAGAAGCTACTAGCAACAAGGGCATCGCTACTAGTAACTATGTCAATACTAGGAGTCTAGGAGCTAGAAACTACTACTGTAGTAACAAGGGAAGGGCATCGCTACTAGTAACAAGGGCATCGCTACTAGGAACAAGGCCAATACTAGTAGCTAGAAACTACTAGTAACAAGGGAAGGGCATCGCTACTAGTAACAAGGGCAGCGCTACTAGTAACAAGGCCAATACTAGTAGCTAGAAACTACAAGGAAAGGGCATCGCTACTAGTAACAAGGGCACTACTACTAATTAGTAGCTAGAAGCTACTAGTAACAAGGACATCGCAACTAGCAACTAGAAGCTACTAGTAACAAGGGCATCGCTACTAGTAGCTAGAAGCTAGTAGTCTCAAGGGCATCGCTACTAGCAACAAGGGCAGTACTACTAGTAGCTAGAAGCTACTAGTAACAAGGGCTCCAAGAAACATTGCACGCTGCCAGGAGCCGGTTGGAGTCCCATTTGAGAAGCCTGAGCAAGCTGCAGGCCGGCAATGGCGTGATTTTTTTCTTGCACTTCTCATTTTTGGGCGAGCTATGGCGGTGGAGTTGAAGGCTGTTGTGTACTGCATAACGGATGCGCAAAGTAGGCTTGAAGATTTGCACAAACCTAAAACCCTGGCCTGGTGAACATGCATGACACAAGTTCATGGATGCAGATTGTGCTGATTGAACCATACAGACGCTGCCCTTTGGGCAACCCTTCTGTGTATATAGTATAAACATGATAAACATGCGTATGTGTAAAACATATACTATAATACTATATATATATAGGACTGGTTGACTGACAGCCAATGGGCCAATGTCACGTCTTGATATATATTTGCGTTGGCATCGCACTAATGTTTCAGAGTTGCCGTAACTAACTCTCCAAGCTGGGATGGGTGTGTTTCCTGGAGAAACTGAGCTCAGCTTGATGCACTTCCAGCCAAGAACATAAGAAGCTGCCCGACCTCGCATTTTCTTTTGCTACTGTAGAGTGCTGAGCAAAGTGCAGAATCTAGACCTGAATCTGCATAAAATCACCGACACATTCAGAATTGTGAATCTGTTGAGACAGGTGGAACATGTTCGGTTGCATCCCTCCAAACCTTGCTGGATCCACTCCAATGGGCAGCATGCTACGGTTCCTTTGGCGGGCCGTCGCCGTCCAAGCGCAGATCGTTTCTTCTCGCCAACAGGTGAACATGGCAATTTACGCCCTTGTTACTAGTAGCGATGCACTTGTTACTAGCATAGCTTCTAGCTACTAGTAGCGATGCCCTTGTGTACAGGCTATGGGGGGAACCACCACGTGAACCGTGAAGCTATGTGAAACCAGGGTTCTCTAGGAAGCCATAGACGTGCACCGTTTGCACAGTCACAAAAGTCCATGAAACCTCTGCATTCGTGTGTGATTTCTAAGCGCTGTCGCATGCATGTAGAGCCTCGACTGTAGAGCCATGTCGCATTCTGTGACGACTTGGACTGGCTGAATGTGGAGAATGGCATGCACTTGGACAGATGGAAACTGGTTCTTCTGATTCATTGCGCAACTGCAGACCTGGACTATGTCAGTCGCTCGATGGGAGTAGCAGCGTAGCATTTTCTGTTTTCCGATTGATTGTGTATAGCCAAGGGTCCCTGCACTTTTCAGACGTTAGTGTTACAGCGATTCGTTTGATGTCCCAGGCTATGACTATGACTTGGCAATCGTTGACCACAACAGCCCAGACGTATCAAGCATTTCCGTTCCCAATCTCACTGAGTCTTTGGCATCTCATTCCACCGTTTTGAAAGGCTTTGATTTTCCTAGACTCAAAATGAATCTGCATTAAGCCACAGACCTAGTTCCACCATGAGGGAGGCTTTGATAGGACCTCGCGCAGTGGCTAGGCACTGGACGCCACGTTTTATGTTGAGTTTTCCGAGCTGATTCTGATCGGCGCTGGAAAAGTGGAGCTTTTGGCTGAAGGGGATGCATCTAGGCTGCCAGAATGTTCACTCCGACTCATTGACTCATTGAAATGAAAGTGGAACATGTCAAGTGAGGGGCTGGAATCCACGAAAGTGCGGCATCGCGTGGACACTTCATATTTTGGTGGGCCCTCCTCGGGGTTCAACTCCTCCCTGGGACGTCTCGACTGTCACCTGCTTCACCCCCGCCCTGCTAGCTTTCGTCACAAACCCTCGGCCTCAAGGATTTTTGGTGCTGATATATATATATATATATTATATATTAATATATATAAGCCTTATCACACGACCAAACAAAAAGCTCAAGAACTTGATGCGAGATCAGTTTTGGGCTTATTCCGTACCTCAAATGCTTTCACATTTTTATCGCACATTTTTTGCGACAGGTTCGCTACTTGGACTTTGCGGATGGACAGGTGTTTTTCCTCTCCAGTGGAGCAGCGCCCAATCGTTCCATTTTCATTCAACCGCGGAGAGCGTTGCGGCCAGCGGAGGAATATCTCTTGGTTTTCCAATCTGAACTTTGGTGAAATTATTGATTGCCGCGAAGTGATTGATTACCGCTTTTTTTTTCTTGCTTTATGTATGTGCACAAGATTCACAAGACGTTCGTGTATGTCATCAACAAATGATGCTGGACCCGTGGCCAGATTTGACATGGTTAGGACCTGGTGCGAGATCTGGCCGGCAATCCTCTAGAGGCCATGTTTTTTCGATACACGACCCTCGGAGCGCCAGGTCTCTCAGGACGGAGCAGCTGAAAAAGGGGCAGTGTGCTGCGTATACGAAAAGTACCCCTGTTGTCCGAAGCAATGGAATTCACAAACACACACCAAGGCATGGGCAAAGCTCTATGGACTCTATATAGAGAAGCAAAAGCAGAATGGGTTTGGACGGCAACATCATCAATGAATGGTAATGTTGAAAGTCATTGGAGCATTCTGCCTTGCCACATGTACCACAACTCACAGCTCAGAACCCATTTACATGGTTCAGCATAATTGACAGCCTTTTGCTTCTCCTAGCTTTCCCATCATTTGTGCAAGGACGGTTCGTGGTGTTTGCTCCCTACCTGCAGCCCACGACCTCTCCGATCCTGGTTTCTTTCCTGACCATTGAGCATGGACTCTATGGCTCCACAGAAGAGTCATATCGTCTTGAACTCTGGAACGACAATGCTGACATCTTTGCAAGTCATTCACAAAGCTATGCTCACTGTAGCTCCTGAGCTTGTTGAGCTTTCTCTTTGTTGATAGAGGCGCAGCCAACTCCTCAGCTGTGCCCGTGACAGCCAAGGCAATGTGCGTGAACTCTCGGAGGGCTTAGCATTGCAGAGCTGTGAGATGGTGACCGGCTACTTGTTTCTCTTGTTGCGATCCGCACTGCAGCTTGGATTGGTCCAGACTTTCAAAGTGGGGCCAGCTGTGTTTGCTCCTCTGTGTTTGCTCCTCCCTCTAGATTCTACAGTCATTTCCTGGATCATGGATCATTTCATTTGCACCGAGTCCAGGTTTTCCGACACTGCGTATTCCTTCGTGGTGGACTGGCCCGTTGATCCGATTGTGGATTCCAACACCAGTACAACTTGGAGTTTGATTGCATCGCGCACTTATGTAGCTGGGACTCTGAAACGGAAGGGTTTGGCAGATCTTCCTCCATATCCTGGTGTTTGTGTAGTGTTGCATATTGTTGCACACAGTCTACATAGTTTCATAAGCTTTGTATGAATGGTATTTGTCCCAGTTGTTTGTGGCCGGTTCACAAATGATGGCAGTAAAATGAAGACACTACTCCTCACCTTCTTTTGACTTGACTTGGCATGCTTCATCATTGCTGGGATCGTGAATGTATACATGTATTACTGTATTACTATATAATATCATGTAATTATGTAGGTACATATGACATCATACGACTGTGAATGTGTTGTTTCCATTTATTGGTCATTTCTTTGACACCTCTTCATCAACCCATCGTGCCCCACCTTATTGTTTCAGTTGGAATGCTGAAAACGCATGGGCGAAAGCAAAGTCAAGATACTCTTGTTGGTCCATGATTCTCTTTAATAGCCAATGTTACCATCAGGCATGTGGATTCTCATATGAAATGCTCCAACGACCTTTACTTAGAAAAGGCCAGCTGCACAGCTGGATGTCCCAGGTAGGAAGCTGGCTGGAGATCCAGCGCTTTGAAAATTGGGTGCACTACCTGCGAGACTTCGCCTTCATGGAGTCAGCATCGACGTCCATAAACTCCTTTCAAGTCAGTGCAGGAAATTCAACTGACGTGTCAATGGCAGAGAGTCTTCATGAGTTCCTTGCAAGTGTTCTGCACACTCAAGCATTTTGGACCAGTGATGTTAGTGATGTTCTTGTGTGAAGGGACGCGGACAGACTCGTGACCTCGCAAGCAACACTTCCCTGGACACCCTGCCTGTAGCGCCTGTAGCACTGCAGTCAGTGTCGACGTCAGTGTTGACAGCTACCAATCCAAAGCCGTGATAGACACAGAACAACAGAACAGCCTAAGACAATAATTACTTGCAACCCGCAGCAGCGCACAGTAGTAGAAACAGCAGAGACACAGGCAACACACAAAATAACATGCAAGTACTGCAAGTGTAGATGCACAGCACCCTTTGTGAAATCATGATGATAATAGAACATTAGACCAAACACAGTCAAACAGTCATTATCATTGAACTAAATGCGTAGGTGCGTTTCTTTTAAATGAGGTGTAGCCAAGGAACCTGGCATGTCTCGCCAGGTTTGAGATTTCACCATGACCACCACTACTGCTGCCTGCAAAATACAGCATTTTCTTTGAACCTGGTTGCACTTGTGCTCTCGGTCGTATTGGTGTGCTGCTGCTGCTGCTGCTGCTGCTGCTGCATCTAACAGGAAGCAAACCATTTTCACAAGCTACTCCGAAGTCTTTTCCAGCAGAACAGAGAAGCAAGTTGATTTCTGAGGTTCGAGTTTTCAATCAATTTGGGCGCTTCCGGAGCTTCAGCTAAACTTGTGTTTTCTGAACTGTTTCTAAAAACATGTGTTTGCCGAAAGTTTTGTGTCTATAGAGCAGCTTTGTGTCTTCCTGAGTCGAGGATTGGCTGGGGGTGGACGCTTGAGATTGATTGCCTCACCACTCTTGGGATGGAGCAGCAGCTTGGAGCAACGGCTCTCAGCTCGGATGGGCCCATACACAGATGATTGCGGAACAATGCTAGCTTGCCTTCCATGAGTCATACAAGACGCCATCATGTTTTCATTGCTTGGCGGGTGAGGAGTCCGCTAGAGAACTCGGTTTCTATTCTTGTGGCCTGTATCACTGAGGTGATCCCTCAAGGCCTGTGAACACCAGCATCCTCCAATCCATTTGGCTGATGGACGCCTTTCGCTATTCAGGACCATGGCGTCAGACTCGAGGATGTGGCGGCTTTTGGCCTGGAAGTCTTCCTGGTGAAACTCAATGTAGTATCATGGAATATGGCCCTGCAGGAGGCCCTGCATATGGCCTTCAGTTACAGATACTTGGGATGTGAAGAACGGTTTGGCAACATGTTTTTGGGTGCCGAAAGACCAGACGGAGCCTCGATGGTTGCTGCTCAAGACAGTTGCTACAAACAGCTTGGCTTTGGCCTGTGACCTTGCCACTCTGTGTGTGTGTGTGTGCAGCTGTTTGCTGATCCAATTCTGCAAAGTGACTCCTTTGCCGCTGGAGGTTTTAGCTTGGGACACTCCATTTTGTTGCCCACAATCTTCGGACACTCGTTCCAAGGATTCCGAATCGATCCGCATTGCTCGCAAACCGAGCTTACACCTTCACCTTGGCAGTGCCGGGCATTCAATCATTTCAAGCAGTTGTGCACTGGGAAGCCATCGCCTTTCAGCGTGTGTCAGATGTCGCCTGGTTCACACGAGATCGATTTCCAACACTTGCCTGCCTTGTTTTGGGCTCGTTTCGAAACCCGTGATGTGGAACTTTGATCGTAGATGTCCCTCTCCCATGTTTTCCTTGCAACACCCCGAAGATTTGTCCCTAGCATTCTTGTCACGGTCGTTTGCTTGAAAATAACACTACTGCAGGGGGTTACCTCAGGATGTCTACGAAAGCAGCGCTGTGCTTCGTAGCAACTCTGCAATGCTGGGAGCCCCTGCAACTTGGATGGATCCAATCCATGTTGCAAATGGTGTCAGTATCCCTGAGATTAGAGATTTCCAATAGATTGGATACTTGAATCCGTGTTATGGTGTATCTCCATGGTCTAGGAGCCTAATTCCTGTACATCTACGTAGATCGCAGTGAGCCATATATAATCGCACGGTATGAACTCTTTCAGGTCGACAAAGCTCACCTTTGCGCGTCTTGTTTGTCGCTCAATGTGCTCTACGGCAGCTACACTTATCCCGCTCCAATCGGGAGCATCATAGCGACAGTGGAGCTAGAGCTGGAGTTGATTCTTGGTGGACACACTGGAACCGTCCAACACATTCCAACAGCATCATGACCGGAGATGGAACGTGAAATGAACAAACAAGTCTAAGAGCACGTGCTTGGGTTTTTGCAAAGTTCGCTCAAGGTTGCGTTGTGCTGGCAAGGTGGAGGGATGTGATATGACAGACACAATTAGAAGAGCAGGGAAAATCTGAGAGGTCGTGGCTTTTGCTGCATTCTGAAAGCGAAGCGTTACACTGATTGGTGGCATCCAAGGAAGATCTTCGCCTACAATGCCTCGGTGGTTCTGAGGTTGCTCCCTCCATTGGGCCCTTTGGAGACCTGCGAAGCGCCTGGCTTAGGCCAGGCTACCATGGGGGCTGCGAGTGAGGCACGATGGCAGGGAGACTTTGTGCTGTGCCTCAGCTGCGAGACCGAAGCCCGGTTGTGGGAAGATGGACGAATAATTACAATGAACACATGTCCATGTCAGTGAAGGGACAGCAGTATTAGTGATAGACATTTGAAAAGGGATAGGTGGGGAAGACGAATGCTCCAGAAGTAGTGAACAAAAAAGGCCGTGATGTTTGTTAGAGTCGAGGGTTCCAGAAGTGCTCAAGAATCATGACAGCCTCTAGCTTCTACCTTCTTGCTTACATCCTCTGTCCTAGCCCGGTCGGGATCTTTGTTTTTGCCCACACCTGCTTGCGTCATAACGCTGACTATCAAAGCTGCCCATGTTGAGCAGCTGCCATTTTGGTTTGTTGATGTTTGTTGCATTTGCGTCCAAAGTACTTGAACACATGATCCATGATGCTCCTGTCTCTCGCCTTTCCAGCAAAGCTACTCGCTGTGGGCTACTTCTTTTTTCAAGCTTCCTTCACACAAACGCCAGTGTGGGTTCACACTGGAGCCAAACTTCTTGTTTCATCTTGACATACCCTATGCTTCTGAAACCCAGCAAGTCGACAAAGTAGTTTTCTAACATCGGCTTAGTAAGCGCAGCTTTGCACAGAGTTAGAAGGTGAAACCAGTGGAACCATGTGGAACCTATTTCCAGAACCTTTGAGTACCGCATGCTTGGAAAGTATGCATTATTGCCATATTTTGACCGCCCAGTTGCAGTTGAGACGACCCGCACTTATATATGTTGGCACATGATTTTCCCCGCGCGTGATCCGCATGTTTTGCACTTTTGTGAGGTATCCTCATGTGTCGTACGTGGCATCCTGCTTGCTTTACAATGGGCCGAATACCGTGGCATATAGCTCTTGGAGCCTCACCGTGGAAGCTCCAGTGGGTGGCACGGAGACCATAAACTTCGAGACTTGTCGGTCAGACTTAGGAGATCATCCAGTCCAGTGAACATGTTTTTTTCGGAAGAGAAATGGAAGCCTTTTCAGGAAAAGTCTGGAGAAGTCTTAAGCTAAGATTCCTGGAGAATCCAAGCTACCGCAGTGCCTGCAGTAATCCGTTGCGAACGAAACAAGTGCATCGCACTTAGGAGGCAAACGTGACATCAACGAAGTATTTGGTGATTCCAGTTCTATCTGGCGGACAGGTTTTGCCACTGCACCCTTTGCTTGGAAGGTGGCAAGTTCTATTGGTGCGTATGGTCACACCTGCCCCTTTTCCCAAACTTAGACAGTGGAAGTTGAGTGTACCCTGATGCAACAGTTGAAACAGCGCAGTTCAGCAAGCGTGCTCAATGTTTACATTGCTTGGATCTCGTGGGAATTGAGTTTGGCGGTGTTTACAAATGCTCCCAAGTGAAGATTGAGGTCAGAGATGGATTCTCTTTGCTTCACTGGACTGGCACGGCACATCAGCTTCAGCTGGTCATGCCGGTAGGCTTCTCCTTTGGCCTCTTGACCTACGAGGAAAGTGTGTAAGTGAAATCGAAGATTGAACACTCTTGCCTTTGCTAAGCCGTGTGCACGGTATTTGGGGGTTGCAGAAGTGGAGCAGCTAACCGGTTCGTTGATGCCTTGATGGTTCTGTCTTTGTTGCAGCCAACAACTCTCTTCACTGCTACTCTGCGACACTCAGGTTTCGAAGGGCACGGCGCATGCACCAACTTTCGGCCGGTGACGTCGGCACTTCCGCCGTTGCCTTTTACTTCTTGTGAAACATCTGCAGATCTACCAGGCCAGATGCACACAGATCATTGTACTGCAGCATGATGGCTTTCTATATGTTGCTTATCCGTGCTTTCCTTTGAGTAAAGTTCCAGGTTGCATTTTACGTTTGTTGTGAACAGTTCATCAGGCCACTAGGGGAATCACAAGCCAGCCAGGCATCAGGATCATGATTGATGGCAATGAAGTTGGCTTTGAGCCGGAGCGAAGCTATGCGTTCCAAGTCTCGTTGGAAAATCCAAGGAGCGCCATTAGTGGATGGATGGCTGATTTGGAAAGCATGCTCTACCTACTAAGCATTTCAACCCCCTTTTTCCGGTAAGGCACAGCCTTGACAGCTTTCTACCCTTCGCAAGGCAGACACTTGTGCAGTCCTTAGTCCACCTTGGACGCACGGACGCGATCGCCGGTCCGACCTCGCTCAAGGAGCTTCCCATTGCAGAATCACTGGTCTCTCCGGCGCCCTGCCGCAAGTGGAGGGGGAAACAAGGCTATTGCTTTGTATATCAGAGGAGCCGGTGCACACTTCAGAAAAGAAACGTAGTGAGTAGTGAGGTCACTATATCTTATCTGCTCATTTTGCAGACACTTGCGGGCCGTATGGAGAAAGGAACTCTTGCTAAAGCTGCATTGCGGAGATATTTAACAATCATAGACGTTTGTAAGATGTGTTGGTGGTTTCGCTTCTTATGTGTCTAAAGCTTTGTGGCGATACAAAATCATTGTTGACACATGTTGACACTAGTTAATTTTCTGACCAAAGTGCATTGTCAAGAGGGCACTTTGCAAATTTGGATCTTCCGATGGTTTGCACGCAGACGCTCAGGCTTGTAGACGACAACAACCTGCTGGTAGCACAGATGGAAGACGTGCCATCGGTTTTGAGCTCCGTCACGGCGGCTTTACGACCCAATGATCCAGATGAACTCTATGATACCTCCTTTCGCCTCTTTGACCCTTGCTTGCTTTCAAGGTGTTGAATGCCGAAGAATGTTTGCTTGTACGGGCTTTAGCCGTTTTACAGGTTTGCAAGTACGCCGGAGCCGGGGAAGGAGACCAGCGCTGAGGGTGAGGTTTGGTGTCTGGCTATAGTAAGTCATTCCAGAACTATGACCCAACATGTTATATATATAACTATATAAAATATATAAATATTTGTGTATGTATTTTCAAACGAACGGGGTGTCCACCTTCTATCCGCTCGTCCTAGAGCCAGGTGTGCCTTCGGTAGTGTACACTCATATATGCAAACTCGTGGTGTGGCACCGCTTTCACATTTGTCAAAGGAAGTTTAGTGTGCAAAACTTCCGTGTTACGGACATTCAACAGCTGTTCAACCACCTCTCACCATACACCACTCATCAAACACCACTCATCATACACCACTCATCATACACCACTCATCATACACC